CCCTTTTTTACAGCAGGCCTCGTACACAGCAGCCCGGTCCCCAGCACACTACCCTAAACCCTAAAACTCTAAAACCCTAAAACCCTAACCCTGAACCCTAACGCCGTAAACCCTAAAGCCCTAAACCCTAAAACCCTAAAACCCTAAACCGTCGAGGACGTGCCTGGGCCCGAGTGTTCACCTGCTCACTCACGGGGTTTGCGAGGCCGTAGCCTTGTAAGCATTGCCTGCAGGTTTGTGGTTGGGTTTAGGGTTTAGGGTTTAGGGTTTATGGTTAAGGGTTCTTGCGTTCAGGGGTTAGTTTAGGGCTTTGGGATTTTAGGATTTTCGGGTTTGAGGGCCTTAAACCTGCAGTGTAGGATTTCATGGCTTTGGGCCTTAAGGCTGTTCCGGCGCTCACAACTCGAACAATCCAGGCGAGGTGCCCAGGCTGATTAGGATTCAGGGTGTTGGGTGTGCACCCGGATTGAGGGGGTGCCTTCGGCGGCAGATTTAGACTGCCAGTTTCAACGCTCTAGACCATGAATCCATCTTGCCGCAAAAAAAGCCTGAGTAAGGACAGAATTGGAACGATTGGTGGACCATATGGTACAGTAAAGAATCCACTGATTCGAAGCGAAAAGTCGTTCCCCTGAATTAGTGAACCTGTGGCAGCTTCTTGCGGCTTTCACTCACACCATTCTACCTGTGGGGTCTGCGGCCTTAGGTGGCACTCAGGTGGTGGAGGATGTGAGACAGTAGACTGTAGGCCGTAGGCGTTACAACAAGGCTCCTTGGTAGACGCCTCTTGTATCCTCTTGTTGATTGAACGTCTGGAGCTGTAAATAAACCGTGCGCCCTTATAGTAACCCTCATCACCGATACCTTTGTAGAAACCTTTGTAACAGCCCTAGATACCCTTAGAGTAACTCTTACAGGTCACTGCCAAATGCGAAGGCTCTCGAAGCAGGTTGACAGAAAAAAAGGACCCCATGCCGAAAATAAATCGTACAGTAGAGGTCTTTGGGGGCCAACACCGGAGGGGGGATGAATATGTATATTTATAAAAAACAAAGTAATATATATATATATATGTAAATATATATGTTTATATAAATAAATAAATATATATATATATATATATCTGTTAATATATGTATACACATATATATATATATACACATGCATACATACATACATACATACATACATACATACATACATACATACATACAGGCATACAGGCATACAGACATACAGACATACAGACATACATACATACATACATACATACATACATACATACATACATACAGTAAATCCAAACGACGAAACGTGTAGCAAGTCCACATACGTCTGCATGTAGAGATGCCGGGCTCTAGAGCCTCGCGCTGCCCCGTTCTATGCTTCAACATCCTCACGGGGCCTCCATAAGTGGAAGAGGGTGTTGCGGATATATCATGATACATACGTTTCGGGTTTAGGGTTCAGGGTTAGTTTTGCAACGGCCTTAAAACGTGATATTCTTCTTATACTACATACAAGCCCTCGACGATGTTTTCTGTAAGGAGTATGAGTAACGTTTAAAGGTGCTGTAGGAGACCCCAGATCAGAACTCGACATGTGCTCCCCCCCACCACCCAACGCCCCAGAAACAACAAAAACAAAAACACACGAAACCTACCTGCCTTGTTTTGAGGTCACCTGTAAGGAAACCAACATCGAGAACCCTCAACGTGCAGGTTTGGGGGAACTTCGGTGGAAAGCAGACCACCAAAACAAGACAGTGACCCAGCCACTGCCCGTCGGCCCTGAAACCAACCCAGGGAGTAAAGCCCTTTTTGGGTTTAGGGTTCCTGTGTTTGAGTGTGGAAGAAGTGGCCTTAAATTCCAGTTTGACTCCCTGTATAATGCAACATAAACAGAACCACAGCATTTATTCCTCATCTGGAAGTTATTCAAAGTATATGCCTCAACTAATGTAGGGGCCTCAATAATTACCAGTACTATTTTGGGGTTCATTCTTATACTTATATTACAATGGGCCCCGCAACCCTATTCTAATTATGAAGGCCCCTATATTAGGGGGTATTGGGCTGCGGCAGAGTCGCGTCTCAATGGGAACCCACCTGCACAAGAAGAGAATCTGAAGGCTTTGGGGCTGGGAGTCCTTAACCCTAAACCCTAAGCCCCAAACCCTAGGGTTTAGGGTTTAGGGTTTAGGGTTTAGAAGGTTTTGGGTTAAGGTCCCTTCACCCTAAACCCTAAAAACCGTGTGGGGTGACATACCTGGACCCCAAAGGACCTACCTCCGTCGGCTATCTGGGGCTATTATCAGGTAAGTAAGACTTCAGGGTATATATGGATTTAGGGCCCCTACAATTTGATAGCTGAGACTTCCGATCAAGGTTTAGGTTGCAGGATTAGGAGGCTTAGGCTTTCGGCGTCTGTGGGAAGTAGATGTAAAAACCGCAGCCCACATCACGCAAAACCATACATGGAACATGGGCCCAAGAGAAGCTTGAAATGCTTTCAGTCGTCTGCCGTTATCTCTAACCCCTTTCGATCAAAACCTCGCACCCAGCTCGCATAGGAGCCTTCTGAACTAGAGCGGGGTCGTAGGGCACATGCTGATGTATTTTATTCGGACCGCGACGGGATAATGTAGCTAATGATTCAGAGCTCCATGCTAAAACCTATGAACTCCCAAACCGTCGGCAGTCTCAACCCCCCTTCACACAAAAAACATGCGTTGCGCAGCGCTTGCTTGAAGGAGTGAATAGGAAAGAGAAGGCAAGGAATCAAGTAAAAAATCCCTAAACCCTGAACCCCGCCAAACCTAAAACCCCCAAACCTTTAATTAACCCAAAACCCAAAAGCGGCCCTACACCCCCGAAACCTTAGCCCAAACATCCCCCCCAATAGGGCCCCATACCCAGAATTCCTAGCTAAGGCAACTGCTCACTGCATGATGCCCTAACACTTTCGGGGTTTAGGACTGATCAACCCTGCGACAACCCCAAAACCCTGAGAGCTTTCCCGGTCAGATCCTCATTGTATGGGTCAATACCTCCTACACATGCGGAACAGGGTCGCTAAATCCCAATCCTTTTTTGAGCACGGGCTTGGGATGTATGCCGGCAACCCTAAACCCTAAACCCTAAACCCTAAACCTGGAATCTGAAGGTCTCCTCAAGACACCAGCAAACTTGAATCCCAATCCTAAACTCAACAAACCCTACATAGGCTGGGCTCATGTCGGTTACTTAAAGGATCATGGGACTTAGTAAGTAGGGTTATAACTAAGGTAACTATACTTATAACCCCAATTAGGGGACTTATAACCTTACCTACTAAGTCCCACGACCCTCCAAGCATGCAAGGTAATGCCCAGGAAGGAGGCAGGCGGCCAGGTGTTGTCTCTAGTCCTGCCTTCCTCTCCCAGAGAGGTTTGGCCTGATATCGCCTGATACCCTTTTTTGAAATTAGGGGTATCTACGGAAGTATGTATGTGTATATGTATGTATGTCTGTATGTATGTGTGTGGGTATGTGTACATATACTCATATTTATGTATGTATGTATGTCTGTATGTATGTTTGCGTACATCAATCTCTTTACCTGCACCAGAAATCCTGAACCCTGTAGTTCGAAGTTCGTAGTTCCTAAAACCCAATCCCCTTTCCCCCTGATAGAGGGGTCTAAACAGATAGAAGCGTCTTCCCTGGGGTTCCCGGATGTATTTCTACCCATAGGCCCCATAGTAGTTCCTTTTGGGGGATTACCTTGTTCTAAATATGAACCCCCAAAACGAACTACAGTGGGTGTTTATGGGTAGTATCATCTACCTCAACATCCCAGTTCTATTTTTTCAAGCAGACCCATATTAGACTTCGGACCGATTGGACCTCTGCCATACACTGCGCTTGGAGCGGGCCCATTCGCAGGCGACTTCTGTAATCGATGCCCCCAGCACTACCTGAAAAAGGACTTTGGGGGTTCAGGGTTTGGGGGTTTAGGGCTTTCGGGGTCCCGGTGGTCGGCCGGTCTGCGGACTCTATGTACTGTATTAGTAGGCAAGCGAATCACAGTTAGAAATGCGATGACGATTCCAACCACTGTCCCCAAAAAGAAGTGAGACTGAGAGGGTCACTTCGCAGCAGTCATATAAGGATACTCTGCATCGTCTTCCCCGGGGTGATCGGTTCAATCTGAGAGATCATGTTGGTGTGGCGGGCCTTATACACATACACACGGAGATTTCGGCTCGTGTTCAAGCTAAGCCGTTAATTATGCCAAGCCCTGCAAACCCAAGAGCATTTACGACAACCCTAATTAACCCCACGAGACCCTGCCTGGGTCAGGAGGTCCTGCATCTCTGTCAGCTCGAACTCAAAGCTCTCTAGGAACTTAACGACCTGGCTCTCGTGGTTGGTGTTTGCAGGGCTTAATTACCCATAGGCCCCATAGTGGTTCCTTGTTGTGGCTTATATTTAGGATCCTAATAAGTAATCCCAAAAAGGAACTACTTTGGGGCCTATGGGTAGGCTTAGGCAGCTTGTGGCCACGAATTTGCGGCAAGGTAGACAAATCTCTGGAGGCTACTTACTCTTGACTTCGTAAACCCCCAAAGCGGACAAGGTGGGTCCTGCTGCCCCATATGGGAGTTTCCGAAAAGTAGGGGTACCTTATTTTGGGGTCATTTAAAATAAGGATCCTACCATTTAGGGTACTATATTTGGGTCCCCCATTTTCGGAAGCCCCCATATTGAGGACTATGCACTGGCTCAGGGTACTTGAGGTCATGGAGGATTTGGCCCATCAGCAGAGGCCCACTATGGCCCAAATCTAACGAAGCAGTGGCTGGTCAAGTGCCGATACTGATTTGAAGGAACCCAGCCTGCACTGTCTTCTACGACACCTTAAGAACCCTACTGGTTCAACATATCACACCCGCAACACAAGCTTAGAGCCCTAAAGCTCGAACCCTTGACGTGAAACTCACACTGATGTGACGATAACAAAAACCCCTATTCTAACATCCACAAGAGGCCCCAAGATCGAGTCTCCTTCCTAAGCCACAGGGAGCCATGGACCGAACTTCTGGACTCCACGAAAGCCCATCTCCTTATATACATCGAACTTGAGCTGGGGTTTAGGGTTTAGGGTTTCGGCGCTTCTAGGGTTTAGGGTTTAGGGTTCCTGAAGCCAAGTCGTAAGCAACTCACACCAGATCCCCAAATGAGCACTGCAGGTAACAGTCAAGAGCAACTTAACTCCCAAGCGCCGAACCTGGGCCGTCTGCACCAAGATTTCAAAACCCTAATCTCTGTTTCAAGCGGCGAAACTACCCATAGGCCCCATAGTAGTTCCTTTCTGGGATTACCTTATACGATTCTCAATATGAACACCAAAAAGGAACTACGATGGAGCCTACGGGTAATGGGCGGGGGGGAGCCTAAGCCCTCAACGCGGATACGCTGATTGCACCATAGAGTCTGTTGCAGCTGGACTACGGCCATTTCTTCTGATGGACACTGAAACCACCCTGAACTGAAGGAATGAAGCAAGCCTACCATGATGTCAGCTGAGAGATGCCCAGTCTCCAAATGTCCAAAGTTTCTCCCTAAACCCTAAACCCTAAACCCTAAACCTTCTCCCCAGAGGAAAAGGCTGGGTCTCCCCGGCATTCGGTGCTCGGGACCGGAGATCACGCGACACGAACTTGACAATGCCTCGCGTTGCGGTTTCGGGGTTCGGGGGTCGAGGCCTAACATAGGGGCCTTAATAATTGAAATAGGGTCTTGGGGCATATTATACTGTACCTATAATAAGGAACCCCCAAAACCCCATTCTAACGGGTATACTATACTATACCTAGAATAAGGAACCCCCAAAACCCAATTCTAATTATTAAGGCCCCTACATTAGGATCTGCGACCTGCCAAAACCCAAGTGCAAACCGTCGACCCTAGACAAGTCCCTAGTCTGGGGACTCGTTCCGCTGTCTCCCTAGCAGCGTGTATATATAGTAGGTTATAGAATAGACACAGACAGACATACATATGTATGTGTATATATATATATATACATATATACATATATATTTACACATAAGTAGACAGATAGATAGATAGATAGATAGATAGGTGTACAATACCAGAAGCAGCATAAGCACCGAATCCTGCGGGCCAGAGCCGTGCAAACACCTCAGCCCCACGTTCCGAGACATTGCACGGTTTAGGGTTTATGGTTTAGGGTTTAGGGTTTAGGGTTCTCCTTGCAACCCGAAGAACCTCCCTTTTTGCATCAGGGCTTGTGCAATCGCCTGAATGTCTGAGCCTACCGAAGAACCCTCCTGAACCCCAAGCCCGCCTTCACCCTAGAGCTATAAACCTGGGCAAGGTAAGCTGCTGCTTTGGGCATCCGAAGTCCGGTAGTAATTCTCTGCCCATTCGCTGGCCTCCGGCTTTAAGATTGCGGGTCCAACTCGTGAAGTGCCGGCTTCTCACTTAAACCTAGAGTCTAAGATTGAAAGGCAGGACTAAAGATTGAAGAGGGGTTTCGGCAAGGTTTACGGCTTGGGGTCTGTAATGGTTCAGTGTCGTGGGGCTTGGGGCTTGAGGCTCTTTTGGGCCCCATGCACCACGAACAACGGTTTAGGGTTAAGGGTTTAGGGCCTTGAGCGGTTTAGGGGCTGGGAAAGTCTGAACGGAGGGGGGTAGGCTCCTCTATCTTCTCTACCGGCTGCACAGAAAAAAGTCGAGGCAGCTCATAAATTGGGTTAGGGCATGAACCGCTAGACTCATAAACCCCAAACCACCCATCAGGTTTAGGGTTTAACGTTTAGGGGTTTAGGGTTTGGGGTTTAGGGTCACTTTCTGATATAAACCCTCAGACCAGCATGCAAAATGTCAATAGCTCGAAAGCTAGTAGGTACAAAGAAGATGTACACAAGCTATTCAGTAGCGCCGGCTGCCCTGGGTTTTGCTAGCATATGGGAGGGCGCGTATCCAAAATGCTCTATATATATATATATATATACATATATATATATATATATGTGTGTGTGTGTGTTTAAGACATATGTATGTGATACGACATGTGCATATGTATATATATATATATATATAATGTGTTTATATGTATATATATATATATATGCATGTATACACATTTTGTTGGGAGGTTTTAGACCCATTCCTGTCAAGCCTTGCTTGGCAGTTTGGGTACTGCACAAAACCTCCCAAAATCCCAGTCAAGCCGGCGGAGTGTGGGGCCTCCGCTCTTTGTGGGATTAGGGGGCTAAGTAAGTAGGATGATATAGAAGTTTCAATAATTTGAATAGGGTTTCGGGGTATAGTATACTACAATTATAATGAGGAACCTCCCAAGATAGTGTAGGTACTTCTTAAGGCCCCCACATTCGAAGTAAGGGCCCTGAAGGGCCTCTATAAAGGGGTCCTATGAAGGGGTGCCATCAAGGGTTCTGTACGGGTTTTGGGCTTTAGGGTTTTGGGGGCCGAAGGATTAATAAAGGGGCTCAGTAAGTGACGAATATAATTACGGTGCCTTCAATTAAGTAAAAGAAACTACAGGTGGGGAGTTTAGGGTATATAGGGCTTCTATGGTAAGGCTTCCCACCTGAAAATGTCCTAGAATTAACGGGATCTTGAAGGGATTAAGGCTAAGGTCTTGAGGATGTGTGGAGTTAGTAAGTAGGCCATACGTATGGTCCCTTGCAGGGATCTTGAAGGGCTTATAGGTTCTGGAGGGTTGGGGGGTTTAGTAAGTAGGACATAAGTAGGGTAAGTAGGGGCTTAAGTAGGATATCCCTAGTTAGGACACTAATAAGTTGAGGGTCTTAGGATTAGACTACAGGACTAGATGCCATAGCTAAGGGCCGATAGGGCATTAATAGCTCTGCTTTAGCCTACTTACTAAGTTCCTTGACCCTTCAACTCGGGTACGTCTTTAGCGAGAGCCCAGAAGGTCGCAGGGCCTAAGGATGTCCAAGGCTGAACTCAGGTGGCACTTTCGGGCACAGAGCTTTAAGGTTTAGGGTTCAGGGGCTTTCGTGTATACCTGGGCCTTGAACAGAACTGACCCGAGACAAAGGTGACAAAGGCGGCACTTTGTGTACGGTCCGAATTACAAGCGCTACAACCCTGAAAAGAGAGGCTCCCTCTTTAAAGGCTCTCGGGACTTCATGGTAGGCTAGAAGAAGAGTTGCAGGTACACTAAGCAGAGATATCCTGTTCGCACTAAACCCCTGATCCTTTAGGTCGGGTTCAGGTAGAAATTCGGTTCTGCAGGCTCGAACCTTGCTGCAAGATCTTTCGACTTACAGACTTTTCTTCGAAAGTTTTCTTACTTTTATGGGCGGTTTCAAACCCTTCCTCGGGGATTATGCATGGCATTCATAATAATCGAAGAACCCTAGACATCAGGTCTGTTGGGTTGTGGAGGTGAGCCCTAAACCGTCCTGGTGGCGAGGAAAGTGCAGCAAGGACGGGTCGATCTGGACGTGTGTAGCATCCGGCAGCCAGCAATGGAACCTTTGTCATGGGTGGAAAAGTGTTGCAGTTACGCTTGTTTAGACTTTAGGGCTTTGAGTTTATATAGAGACAGGATTTAGGGCATCAGCGTTTTTGTGTGGGTTTAGTGGTTTGTGTTCCTGAACCCTCCTACAGTCTTGCGGCTGCACGAGTATCCGAGTTTGCTCTATGTAGTCAATGACGGCAACTCTCTGTATCTGATCGCCTGCACTCGACTGTTCCTCTAACCTGACAGAACCCAGCCCTAAACCCTAAACCCTAAACCTCCAAACCCTTAACCCCTATAACCCTAAACCCCTAAACCCTATAACCCTAAACCCCTAAACCCTAAACTCCAAACCCTAAAGTCAACCCTGAACGACCCTTAAGGCATCCTCAACCATGGAGCAGTGTCCGCGCATTCGCCGACATGGAGGCATACTGCGGGAAGCCCTTGGAAATCCTTGTTTCTGCATGGTAGGGTCCACATTGCTTGACCCTTCAACCCCAAACCCGACATGTTGGGCTGAAACAATCAGGGTTGATGGGCTTTTAGGGGTGTAGGGCTTACCCATAGGCCCCAAAGTAGTTCCTTTCTGGGATTACCTTATAGGATTCTAAATATGAACCCCAAAAAGGAACTACTATGGGGCCTATGGGTATAGGGTTTAAGTAAGTTGTAGTTAGGGTTTGGGGGTTTTCTCTCAAGGACGAGTCCGCGTCTTAGGGTTCGGCTTAGGGCTTTCGGGGGTACTGCCGAGGGTTTGGGCGGTTTAGGCAACCGGAAGCCCAAGGGACTCGAACCCGCAAGTTGACGAAGATCTTTAGTTGCGGCATCTGAGGGTTCTATAGTTCTATAAATGGTTTAGGGTTTAGGGTTTAGGGTTTAGGGTTTAGGGTTTAGGGTTTAGGGTTTAGGGTTTAGAAAATGTTGTAGTAAGAAGCAGTACAAACATTCGATTTGTTGTTACATCTTTTCCTTGGGGGTTTTGGGTTCTAAGGGGATGCCTACATGTGACGAGCAGGACAGTAAGTCATGGGCTCTGGGCAGGCAAAACAACAATAAACGGGAAGCCCTCAACCTCACCGTGTGCAGTAAGGATTTGGGGCACTCGGCTAAATGTACTTTAGAAACGGGAACAAGAAAAGGTACTGTTAATGTAGCGAGCCATCAATGCCAAGATGTAAAGCATACCTTCAGTGAATACCTCAGCCCCGGAGACCCAACTTGCAAGGGTATACATACGGACATCATCATAAGAACCCACCAGGATTGGAGGCTCCAACTTAGGCTTCTGATGATTTGATAGCTGACCCACTGTTTTCATTTACATGTCACCGCACCCACGACCTTCCAATTCCGCAAGGCGACTTATATACTTCGGAGCCAAGCCTAACCTGGAAACGGTTGCCAAGCATCCCAATAGCGAAGGGCATGCCATGGAATGTCGCCCATTGCATAAACGCCTCGTGTGGCTGTTCGTTCACGACCCTATAGGTATAGCCCTCAACCAGAAAAGCATTGAACTGCAACCCCCTATTCCAACAAACAACCCTCCAACAACATCAAGCATCTGAATCCCGGGCGAAAACTCGGTAGAAAAGGTAAGTAACCGCGATCGTCAACACCGTATTCGGTGAGATTCTAAATTCTAGGGTGTAGGGTGCATCATATGATTCCCTGGAAGACAAGCCTCTTATCTGCTGATGTCAGCCTTCTTTGGCCCTTCTGGCAGGCGGTCTGCCGCAGTGGAATTTGTTGCAAGCACCCGAGGTTCTGGCTGCAAGGGTGCGAAATGCTGTCATTTCCGAACTCACTCTGATAAAATCGAATTCCAGCTGCTGCCAGAACAGAAAAGGGCTCCTATCATGACCCTCCTCAGCCGGCTCCGGGGTTTTAGGGTTCAGCCAGCCCGGAGCCACAGCACAGTGGTATGTTGACGCGTACTATAAGGGTATTGTTTTAATTCCTGTAGGTTACCAGATATTCCGACCGCCCCCCTTTTGAGGGTGCGAGATCCTGAAAGTCTAAGCCCTCTGAGGCCCAGTAGGGCTTCGGGTTTAGGGTTTAAGGCGTAGGGTTCAGGGGTTTAGGGTTTAGGTGTTTAGGTGTTTAGGGTTTAGGGGTTTGGGGTTCTTGACGGATAGGGCTTATAAGGCGTGTAAGAAAACAGTGTGGGAGCTACATCAAGTAACGACACCATGCTAACGCTAATATAGCCAATGGCTCCTTAATGTCAGGGCCAGTAAAACAAACAAAAGCGGGCCACTTATTGAACAACAACTCTTGCCTGTGCCAGCGGTTTAGCTAGGGGCATTGGTGTCCCTGTATCTTCACAACTTCATTCGGCAGGGAAGCCTGAAGAATTACCACTACCATTCCTTCGGGCTCCTGGAAATGGGAGTTTCCGAAAACAAGGGGTACCTTATTTTGGGGGTCCTTATAATAGGGATCCTACTATTTAGGGTACTATATTAGGGCCCCGTATTTTCAGAAACCCCCAAATGATATCGCAGAACCTACCCCAAACCCTGTTCAACTTATTCAGTCCCCTAGATTAAGCCCGCATAGAACCCCTTATAGTAACCCTGTATCACGAAACGGAGGCCTTTGAAGGGGTTCTATACATCATATATTATAATAAACCCTGAACCCCTAAACCCTATAAACCCTAAATATATGAAACAGAGTGGGCGAGAGTCGCCGACCAACCAGCCATCACCCGCAGCCACCACCGGGATGCACTTCCTGGGCTTTGAAGTAACCAGGGAAAAAAGTATAGACGTGTATTTCATAATGGTTCCTTTAAGGGACAGGTCCCAAAACAAGTATTAAAGTATGGTACCCCAAAGCCGAGCTTCTCGACGTCTTGGCGGCAGGCCGGGGAAATCCAAAAGCGGCGTCCTCAGATGGTCCGACTTCCCTATAGAGCTCCGGATACCTAAATGGTAGGTTACTAATACATAAAAGGGGCCTTAATGACTAGAATAGAGTTTTTGGGGTATACGGCACCCTTATAAAGAGGACCCTAACAGGGACCCTACTTTAGAGAACTACCCAACCCTAAACCCTAAACCCTAAACCCTAAACCGGTCCCTGATCTTCTGAAACTCACCTGGTGCAACCAAGGAGCCGGTGTTCAGAAACTTGGGGAGTCTTGTTTGTTTAGGGTTTAGGGTTTAGGGTTTAGGGGTTTAGGGTTCCGAAATATCATGCATTGTTTTAGGGTAGTGAGGTCCTGAAACCCTAAACCCTAAAGCTCCTTACAGAAAGGAGGCTCTGCTGCTTTGTCTTCTAGATAGATCTGGCCGAAGACCCCGTAGAGCTACTTTCTTGTGTCAAAAGTTTGTGCTGTAGAAGCAGGGGCCTGACTAGTTAGAATAGGGCTTGGGGGTTTCTCATTCTAATTATAGTATAACACACCCCAAAACCCTAGTCTAATTATTATAAGGCCCCCCACATTAGAAGGAGGGCACGCAGATCCTCCTGTACAGACCCAGGGTTCACCGAAAATTTCAGGGTTGAGCGCTCAGCGGTTTCTGGGCGCAGGGCTTAGTGCCTCTTTAGGGTTAGGATCAAGAGCTGGCTGGAGCTAAAGCCAAGGATAAGCAAAGGAGCCGGGCACTTCGCCATCAACGTCCCATCGGTGGCATTCACGACGCCTTTGGACACTTTTGGCCAGGAGTTTAGATGATAGGGTTAACCACGAAGACCAAGCCACGAAGGACTGTATGTGAAGCTCTGCGCCCTAAATCTTCCTCCCAACCCCTCACTGCAGCAAACCCAAACACTAAGTCCAATAAATCCTAAACCCTAGGACCTAGACTCACAAAATCTCACAAGCCTACTCCCCACTCCGTCTCTGGCTGTAGATGAACTCCAAGAGAACTGAAGCTAACCTCAGCGTGAGAGTCCTAGAACCCCGAACCCCAGACTCCACCTGACCTCTCAATGCTCTTGAGACTATAACTAATGAATGCTTAGGCCGTAGATTTCCTGATAACTCTACGCCCTAACTCATGTTTCCTGAACTCTACAGCAAAGCCTCAAACCCAACAAAAGCTGATTCATTCGAAACGTATTCAATTCGTAAGCCCGGAGAGGGCTCTCAAGCGCGAAATTGCATACCCTAATCCCTTTAAAGCCTTACATCTCCGCAGCCCAACACCGTAAATCCTCTAACCCAAAGATTTCGCGCCAAGCCTTCTGAGTCACCGGTCCATCGCACATAAGCCTCCAACTGTACCTGTTGTGTTGTGGTCTTTGTTCGGTCGGGGTTTGGCTTGGAGACTGAGGGGCCTTGCTTAGGGTTTAGGGTTTAGGGTTGAGGGCTACTACTATAGGACTACTACCCCCACTACCACTGCACTGCCCCTGGCAACCGCCCCCACCAGCACCAGCGTAGTGGTCATCAGATCTTTGAGTTCTCGCTTTCACTATCCGGGATGCTCCATCAATGTCTCCGGAGCACCATTGCAATCATTCCCGTTTGTTTACAATTTACTTGACAGCTACAAGTATCTTGCTTAGTCTTGGGAGAAATACACCTGAACATTTTGTACACAGATACTGCAGGTTAAGACTTCGACAGCAAGGCCCGTCCAATTCGAACGGGGCGTGTGGGCATATTTTTGGAGGTCGGGAAGGGTCGGCTAGGGCTACTCAGACTTGGAATGCCTGGTTCAGGGCTGACTCCATGGTGCAAGGTATCAGGAAATTATGAGTCAAGAAACCTCAACCGTCTTAAGTCTTAACTTAACCCCACAAATCCAAACCTGAACCTTTTTCAATGTAACCCCCCAAAATGGTAGCCAAGCGACATGCAGTGTAAACTTGGTGTTGCTGGTGTTACAGGGAAGAAAATCGTCTGCACGAAGATCGGAAAGACGATCGAAAAACTGATACGCAGAGTGGAAGGACGCATTGTAGCTCCTTCCACAGGAAAGGGCATTGGGATCATTCCCTAACCTTCTGGTTCGTTGTTGAAGCTCTCTTGGCCCAGCTCTGGCACAGCACAGGGTTCTGGATGTACTACTGATGGACAGCTTCTCGGCAATCCGAGATGAGGTATCGCAGCGCCCATAGTTGAGCGTGTAACAACACTGTCTTTGGGATTTGTCAAAGGCCTATATGTGTTGAAGTCATAGAGTACGTTTAGGGTCTATGGTTTAGCGTAAGGGTTTGGGGGTTGGGGTGCACGCTGAGGTGGTAGGCCTTGGTGATGGCAGTGGTCGAAGCCCAACATCGACGCCGTAGTCAAAAACGGGTTGCAGTCGTCGTGGAACGAAGACTAAAGCAAGACGAGGGAAAGGGAAGGAAGCTATGGAAGAGAACAAACGAACCCCTGAATATCCTTGCACTCTCAACAGCTTCATGCCCGAAAGGGGGCAGAAAACAGGTCCTGCAATCTTTACTATGTCTGCTTTTATCTGCTAGCCTGACATATCCGTTCCAGGGCCTTTAATTAAAACCAAACCCTAAACCCTAAACCCTAAACCCTAAACCCTAAACCCTAAACCCTAAACCCTAAACCGAGCTCTAAACTGAACCCCGAGTCTCCAAAGTGAAGCTGTTAAGGGACCATAGGAAGGACGCCTAGAAGGGACCCCTAATCCAAATACCCTGTTAGAACCCTCATATACCCCTTATGTAGTCTCATAGAGCCCCTAACAACCCCTTCGGGTCCCTTTAAGGGTCCCTCCATTAGTGCTTTTAAGCTGAGACTCTTGTAGAACTCCAGGGCAAGACCTTCAGCGCTGTACGCTGCATTCCGCACAGCGCCATTCACGCAAAGCGAGTTCTCGCCCACGTAACCTTGTGTGGTTGGGGGTTTAGGGTTTAGGGTGGGGTTAGGGTTTGTGGCCGAGGGTTTAGGATAGTCTCTGGGCCTCACAAGCTTGCACTGCTTGCCCGGCTTGGCGGCCGACTGGCCCGGTAAATGACCACATCTTTGACAGTCTGCATGCATTTCCCAAATCATCTAGCCCGGCCCTGAACCCATACGTCACAACAAGAGAATCCCGCGAATAGCAGGAGCAAGACATGAAATATCTTTGGTGGTTCATATGCTCATAAAAGATCAAGCCAAAGTCCGAGGGTCTAAAGCCCTTCTCAGACTAAACCCGATGATGCCCAATTTCTTTACCTAGCCGTCGAAGATCAAACTCCAAAGAACAGAGAGTGCCTGTTGGCTGGAGTACTTCGCGTCTCTGCAGCTTAACTCTTGGCTCTTCAATGATAGCAGAAACAGTCCTAAGCTACTCTGTGTACCAGCACAAAGCGCCTAATATTCCTATTCCTAATATCAATATACAACAGAGAGAGAGAGAGAGAGAGAGAGAGGGAGGGAGAGAGGGCGGGAGAGCGACAGCAAGCGAGCGAGCGAGGCAGTCAGAAACCTCCACCCTGCACCCCCAGAAAGCCGTGCTGGTTTCGGGCCTTCTGAATTGAAATCTGTATG